ACACACACACACACACACACACACACAGCCAAGGCCTCCTGGGTTGAAACTTCTCAATGAGCAGCAGCAGCGCAGAGGTGCCTACCTGTCTGGGGGTTCAGTCCACAGAAGGCGCCCCAGCCTCAGCCGCCCGGCCGCCTGCCCGCGCTCCAGCCCGGCGCCTGCTACCACAGGGCAGCGCTCCTCATCGCGCACTGGGATTCCTGCAGGGACCCACCCTCCGAAGTTGCAAGTCAAGATTTCTGACTGAGGGCGATCCGTGACGCGAGGCAGAGCGACGGGATGGCACCTGCAGGTTCTTCCAGATGGGACGTCCTTTCCTGTCTCACCGCTGGGAGAGGAGCACACTGGAATTCAGTCACACACGGAACCACAGCGTTGCCTCATCGCCGCGGCCTTTCGGGGCGCAGGGTTATGAGTCAACTGCTGAACAGGATGGTCTTGTTAGCACGGGAAGGGGGGGTTATGCGGTGGTGGCGAGGAACCTGACACATGGTTAATCATGTACTGCCACCGAGCTGGTAGGGCATGGAACTCTCTAGAAGCCTGCGAGGACTGGCGGGGCTTTGTGCTCATTAAACCACCCCACCAGCCCCAGGCCGGGGAGCTCGTCACCTCGGAGTACCAGCCCACAAGGGTGCCTGTTTCTTAGCTTTTTGGAACCACATTACCACAAAAATACCACAGCCGGGCCACCTGTCCTATTTAGAGAAGCCAGATGTGACTTCCTTTGCCCCTTTTCAAACATCATCCCAGCCCACGGAAGACACGCCTGTGCGTGGCAGGACATACATGGTGTCGCTGCCCGCTCAGGGCCCGTCAATGTCAAAGGCATGGTCCCTACTGTTTACAGCACCGACTTGAGGCCGTGTGTGCCTTTTGGGGCCGTTTTTACTTTCTCTCGCCTGAAGATGAAACAACTCCAGGCGTGGGTTATTTAAAGGCGCTGAGAGGGACAGAGCTCGGACAAGTTGGATCCTGCACCCCTCACCAGCCAAACCTCACCTACCAGGGGTGCAGGCAGCACCGCCCACTCCACAGCCCGGCTCAGGGCTCCTCTCATTGGCTGCAAGCCCGACTCAGGGCTCCTCTCATTGGCTGACTCCGCTGCTGAAAGACACCTTTCTTCTTCTGTCAGCTCAGAGATGACAGCAAAGTCAGAACTGACTGGAGGCGGAGGAGGGAGCACGCCAGTTTCAAATTCTTTGAAAGGCCAGTTTCTCAGATTTCGCTCATGAATTTAGTTCAGAGGAGGACTGGGAAAGGCCCCTTCACTCAACACTTGCTCGCTCCGTCCTCCCGAGTCCGTCTTTTCTCTCCCCGGCTTTCTTTTTTCTCCTACGTGTACATTTGAAAGCTCATCTGGCGGGAGGCTGGACTTGCGTCTCTGAGTGTGGCGGGCTGTGGTCAGACCCTCAGCGTATCTCACGGGGAGACTGCAGAATCGCCTGCTCCTCCTGCCCCAGGTTGTCCATTTCCAGTCCACTCACCTCCTCCAACTGCCACCCCATTGCCTTCCTAAACTGACATCCTTTCTTTCTTTCTTTCTTTTTTATCCTCACCTGAGGATATTTTCTCCATTGCTTTTCAGAGACAGTAGAAGGGAAGGAAGGAAGAGGGGAAAGAGAGAGAGGGAGAGAGAAACATCGATGTGAGAGAGACACATTGATTAGTTGCCTTCTGCACGAGCCCCAACCAGGGGCAGGGTGTGAACCCGCAACCGAGATACCAAGAACCAAACCCGAGACCCTCCAGTGTGCAGGCTGATGCTCTAACCACTTAGCCACACCGGCCAGGGCAAATGTTTTTTTCTTTATCATGACTCCCTCCCCCCTGGCCAGGCTCTACCAGCCTCCTTTTCCCTAGTGGCTTCCTTAGTTCCTTAGCACGGGGACAGCCTGGTCGCCACCAATGTTCCGAAATCTCCTTTTGCCCTTTCCCGAGTTTTCCAGGCAAAGCAGACAGACAGCTCCAGTGCCCACCCAGGGGCTGCCTCCGCTGCCAGGTCCCCCAGCGCACCCTGTTCTGTGTTGACACCTACATGACAACACGTCCCCACTGTTACAACGTAGCTGGTGCTGTATCTGCTTCCCCACTGCACTGGGAGTCCTTCCGGGACACGCCTTACACATCATTCAATCCCTGGAGCTTCACACCGTGCCTCGCTGCCCAATACCTGTCCAACTTTAACACCGTCATGGCTCAGTGTTTGGCAGGGAAACCTTCCACTCCCGGGCAATCTGGGGAAGAGAAGACCCCTGAACTCCACTGCAGAGTCCCTGTCTCAGAACTGAGTAAGCCAAAGAGTACTGCCGTCACGTTTAATGGGGTTTTGGTGGGGTTTTTTTCCCTTTAGTCATTTGTATACTTAAATACATGTCATCTACCGATGAAATGGAATGTTCACATTGAGTCTGAAGTATTTGCACATAGCTCCGTATCTCCTCTGTCATCAAAAAGCAGATTGCTATCGGCTGTATTTCTTGAATCAGTGTCAAGGTATAGTTCCTCCTCATTCTTCAAGGACGGATGTAAAATTAACCTGCCTCCCACCCCATTCGACAGGGGGCAACAGCCAGAAAAGTGGAAGTGAGAGGTTCTGAGGGTTTGCTAGGTGTGGTCTGGGGGGGAGGGAGTGGTGGGCGGAGGGGTGGGGAGCGCTGTGTCTCTCTGCACAAGCCTGGCGTGTCTGCGCACAGCCCCTCTGAGGAAGATGAACACAAGTAGGGCTCTTTGGAGGAGTCCTAAGGCAATGCCTTTCTCTTACTCTTTTTCTTTCTCTTTCTCACTTGTGCCTCGTGATAAATTTATCAGTCCACTGCTAACAGAGAGGGAAACCCTGGGAAGCATGATAGAGTACTCAGTATGTGTGAGTGTCATTTCTCCTAAGTATAACACTTAACTGTTTCATTTTCTGGGAAAACTTGAGCAGTAAGTTACTTTTTAATTAGTTTCACATTTTGAATCGTCATTCACAGATGTTGAGGCATTTATTAAAATCTTAACACCCGGCCAGTGCGGTTCAGTGGTTGAGCATCGACCCATGAACCAAGAAGTCGCGGTTCAATTCCCAGTCAGGGCACATGCTGGGTTATGGCTCAAACCCCAGGGTGGGGCGTGCAGGAGGCAGCCGATCCACGATTCTCTCTCATCATTAATGTTTCTCTCTCTCTCCCTTTCCCTTCCTCTCTGAAATCAGTAAAAACATTTAAAAAAATATGTGAGTTGTCAATACAACATTCTGTGTGACAAAGCAATAAGGAAACAGAATGCCCTGTATCCCTCCCGGCATCATTCATTCGACACATGGTTTATGTAAAGTGTTTGAAACAAAGATGGCGGCGATGTTTCTGACCTCCTGGAGATTACTATCTATCTTTCCCCTCTTGCTCCTGTTCGCCCTTCTATCCCATACCCACAGGCCACCTTCCAACAAAGAACTGGGGGAAGATCTGCTCGGCTAACCCAAGAATGGGCGCTTCTCTTCTGCGTGTGAATTCTTTTTTTTTAATATATATTTTTATTGCTTTCAGAGAGGAAGGAAGAAGGAGAGAGAGATAGAAACATCAATGATTGGCTGCCTCCTGCACGCCCCACACTGGGGATGGAGCCCGCAACGCAGGCATGTGCCCTGACCGGGAATCGAACCGTGACCTCCTGGTTCCTAGGTCGACGCTCAACCACTGAGCCACACCGGGCGGGTCGCCTGTGTGTAGGATGTTTGTAAAAGCAGACGGAGAGCCCTATGAAAACACAAGCTGGGCTAAGCTCTATGATGTCAGCCCGCTGAGACTCATTCCCACGGACCAGACACTCACCCCTCTGCCCACTTAGTAACGAGAGACCCGGCTACTCCACGGGCGCTAGAAACACAGCCCAGGCTTGTGGGTGAGCATGAGCATGAGTGGGACTGTGGTTGCTGGACAGGCTGGGTCACTCTTTGGTCATTTCCAGACCCTCCTAAAAGGGAGCTCTAAATCAAATGCATCTCCCTCGCCGGTGCTTTTGGTGGATGCCACCAAAGCATCCTTGGAAACTAGGAAACCCCCGGGCAACTAGCAGTGGCACCCAGACCCCAAGCCTGGAGTGCTATTTTCTTTTCCTTTCTGGTCCCTGAGGTGAAGTTGCCCTCGTACCTGCCAAGTTACCAGGTAATCTTTATTTTAATATATATTTTTTTATTTCAGAGAGGAAGGGAGAGGGAGAGATAGAAACATCAATGAGAGAGAATCACTGATCAACTGCCTCCTGCACACCCCCCACTGGGGATTAAACCTGCAACCTGGGCCTGTGTCCTGATCGGGAATTGAACCATGACCTCCTGGTTCATAGTTCAACACTCAACTACTGAGCCATCCTGGGCAGGTTACCAGGTAATCTTAAAACACAGCCCTCATCAAATTCCTTCCTTGCTCTGAAATATATGGCTCCTTTATGCTGGTTACATTAACTATAAACTTCGATGGCTACCTATTTCCTAAACTCCCCTCCACAATGTGATTCCCACCCAGCTTATCCCACTTCACGCTCCAAATGCACCCCAATTCCTATCTCCCCTTGAGCTGGGCCAGTGGCTACATCCCCTCTGACCTTTGCTCATGCCCCACCCAAATCTGCTCCTCACACCGGCCTGGGTCAACCTTTCTCTTCCTTGAGTCTTCACACTGATTATCCAAATCACACCAGGATTCCCCGTTTATGCACAGCCCCATTCTTTCATAATAAAGAACAAAAAATACTTCCGTATTCCAACTTGACCGGTGTGTGTATTTGTGCACAGACACACACGCAGGTCGGTGCCTTGTCTGCACAGGGCTGTTAACACCCTCTGAGCACAGATCTCACCGCACAAACACTCCCAGGTTCACAGGAGACCCTGGGTAAATATTAGTTAAGGATGTGACACCACGCTTTGCCCGAATGTTGGAAGCCAGATGTACCTTGTGCAGCTGCTCTTCCTCCTTCCATGGGATGTTCATTCCTTCAACGGTTATTCACGGAGCACCTCCCATGTGCCTGAAAACAGGGAGATCACGGTGAACAAGGCAGCTCTGGGCCCTGCTTTCTCCAGACTTGGAGTCTCGATTTTGGGCTTTGGCTGGAACGCGGGACCCACTCTCTGAATGGCGACAGTCACTCGCTCTCCCTCCTGTGGGCGTCTACCAGCAGGTCAACTGAGCTACACAGCAAGGGGTGGGGGCTAACTCCTCAGAAGACACTAAAGGGATATGAGCAAAATGCTTTAGACCAAGCTGATTAGAAAGTGTTCCTCACTGGCTTCTACTGAGATCTCA